GACCGTCCCACCTCATTCCATGTCCATTCGATAATCACTCCCCAAAAACGAAACTACTAATCAGAACTTTATATTATAAACCAGTTGGTCCCAATAACTCGAGTTATTAAGAGAATGTTATGCTAAATCTTATACAACTCTTTAACACATTCCATTTTGACTTACCATTCTTACTAAAAATAACTCGAGCTCTTACCATTCTTACTAATCAATAAACTAAACTCGAGTTGTTGGGAGAATGTTATGCTGGATCTTATACCACTCTCTAATACGCCCCTCAAACGAAAGTCAATCTATTGGCTTGAAGTTTGCACAGGCAATCACCATACCTTGTGCTTTAATTAACGGGATGAGTTAGCTTGGTTACTTAATTTTTAGTAATCACGGTGGCTATCTTAATCTACACCATTCATTATTTCTTTTTCACCCTAATTTTAAATTAACGATGAAGATTATATTAGGGTAATTTTGGAATTGAAAAATATACCACACCTGATTACTCTATAAATTATATCCAAACCCTACCCTATTGCAACCCGCCGTCAACCACCAAGCTCCCTCCCCGTAACCTCCCACGACCCTCATCCCTCCCGAGAACCTCCTCCACCGTCGGCCGGCCTCCCTCCACCGCCCTCCTCCCTTCCCCTCCTCTCTTGTAAAGCGGCGGTGTCCGGCGACGGCGACGAGGGAAAGAAAGGAAAGGTGATAGTAATAGACATGGTAATGTCGGAAGTTGGGGTGAAGACGATTTGTCTCGTGAAATCCAGCTCTGCTTCGATCTGCTGATGGCGACAGTGCTAAATGGCAAGGAACGGAATGAGATGGAGTTCTGTTGGACTATATTTGCTGTTTAATGGCAATTGGAAGGAGGAAGGAGGAATTCCATTGGAATGGTATGTTTTTTTTTAAATGGTAGTCATTTTTTTTCGTAGTCATTTTTTTTAAATGGTAGTCATTTTTTTCCGTAGTGGTAGTGTTATTGTCGTATTGGTATTGTTTTTGTCGCATTGGTATTGATTTTGTCGCATTGGTATTGATTTTGTTACATTGGTATTGATTTTGTCGCATTGGTAGTGATTAAATCTGCAATGGTATTGATGTTTTGTGAAATGGTAGTGTTTTTATTTCTGGAATGGTATTGATGTTTTGTACAATGGTAGTATTTTTTTAATGGATTGGTATTGATTTATTATTTTTTTGTTGCAGTGTATTAGTTTGGATGAACGAAATCAAGGAAAGATTGAGAAAAAAAAGGAAGAGAGATCTGGCTGAAAAATTGTGGAAGTGAGAGAAAGAGAGAGAGAAAAATTGCATTTAATATATTTATGTAATTTTCTAAAATGTAATTTATTAAAAAAGGTCATTAATAAATTTTTTGTTATACCCAGTTTGCCCTTAATAACCAGGGTGATTACTATAAAATAGTATCCCTTAATTAACTGTTAATATTGGGGGTCGTGGAGATTCGAACACACGATCACTTGGCCAAACCAGTTCTAATATCATGTCATAAACCAGTTCGTCCCAATAACTCGAATTGTTGGGAAAATGTTATGTTAGATCTTATACCACTTTTTAACACTTTAGGACCCAAAATTCTAAATAGAGATGATTAAGGAAAGAAAAGTAAAGGCTATTCGACCAAAAAAAAAAAAGCAAAGGCTAGGGACAAACCCAGGATTTGAGTGACCGGCGGAGCTATATCCCGGCCGTCCATCCACCGTCGCGCATCACCATCCGCTGGTAAGTGATGAGATCTATCGGAGACTAAAAAACACAATTCGCTCCTTCCTGAGTTCCTTCCCTCTCTCTTCAATTCGCCGCCATCTTCCTCTTTATCTCTCAAATGGGGAATTAATTAGGAAAATCAAGATATGGAAATGGAAGTAGGTGTGCTTCTTCTGTTTCTGATGGGACAAGGCGGCGACTCCAAAAATAAGAGGAAAGGGGAAATAAGAACATAGTGGGAGAGAAAAAGATCAGTTACTCCCACATATGATTGTAAATGAGCCGAGTCGAGTTTTATCCCATCTTGAGCTTAGTTGGTTTATAAACTAGCTCAAGCTCAAGCTCGTTTATAAACTAGCTCAACTCGCTTATAAATCAACTAAGCTCAAGATGGGATAAAACTCGACTCGGCTCATTTGCAACGAGTCGAGCTCGAGCTAGCTTGTTTACTAAAATCTTGATTTTTATTTGGCACTTTGTTTTGTATATCATGGTACATATGTATTATTTTGTTAGCTAATCTCATATTATACTTTGTTGGTATTATATATCATTTAGTTAATAATTTTTAACTACTCCATATCATGTTATTTCATAGTATCGAAGCAATCTATAATACATAATTTCTTTTAAAGTAGAAAATAAGATACATTTGCTCACATACTCAACGTGTTAAACTTTATATATGGTGAGATATATAATTTAACAACCATATGAATTAAAATCATAAGATATAGATTGATTCGTCCATAAGTTGGTAATCGAGTTGGCTCTCTAGCCACATGTTGAGACATATCATGAGCTCTAAACGAGTCATCTCACGAGTTTAGCTCAACAAGCCACCGAGTCGAGCTAGCTCGCGAGCTTAACGAATTGAACAAAACTTAGCTCATGTTCGGCTCGTTTATTAACGGGTCGAGTTTCAAACGAGTTTTTCTCGAGTCGAACATCGAGCCGCTCGTAAACAGCTCGACTCATTTGTAGCCCTACTCCCAACTACTGTTGGGAGGACGTCCTCCCAACGGAGAATATGATATTTGTGTAATGATAATATAGTTACAAGAATATGATATTTATGTTATGAGAATGTGATATTCTTGAAGGCTTGATTTCATACTACTATCTATTATAAAAATATATTTTTCTTGTAGGACGAATATATATTCCTGTAACTATATTATTATTATACAAATATCAAATTCTCCGTTGGAAGGACGTCCTCCCAATAGTAGGTGGGAGGACCTTATCCGCTCCGGTGGGAGAGGGCGGCAGCTTATTTTTTTCCCCTTCTCTATTTAGGGCTGCAAATGAGCCAAGTCGAGTCGAGTTTTTGCTTAGGTTGAGCTCGGCTCGTTTATAAATTTTTTAGCTCGAGCTCGGGTCGAACTCGAATTTTGATCATCCAGCTCGAGCTCGACTCGATTAAAAATAATCCAGCTCGAGCTCGGTAAATGCTCATTAACACAACTTGTCAAGCTGAGTACAAGCTCGGCTCAAGATAAGCTCGATTTGAAACCATTCTTGCTGAAAAATGTATACAAATAAGAACATTAGAAACTAAAAATGATAGAGAGAACACTAGAAACTAAAAATAACATCTAACTTCCATACATATGCTTATTAACAAGATAATTTTCACGTTTAGAAGAGTAGTTAATCATTCCACAAGCTTTAAACAAGCCAGCTCGCGAGCTTAGCTCAACAAGCCACCGAGTCAAGCTAGCTCATGAGCTTATCAAGCCGAGCATGGCCTAGATCAAGCTTGGCTCGTTTACTAACGAGCTGGCTCGCGAGCCGGCTTGTTAATTAACGAGTCGAGTGACGAACGAGTTTTTTCCGATTCTAACGCCGAGTTGCTCGCGAGTGGCTTGGCTCATTTGCAGCCCTAACTGCTAACCAAATTCAAGGTATTGGGCTACTAGGTTACTTGTGTAGTGGATTTGGATTGGGCTTCAAAATGAGGTGAATTTCTAATTGGGCTCCATGAATTAAATATGAGGTTTGGGTCGGACTCAAAATGGGACAACTTCTGATAAGTGAGATTGGGAAATCAATATCTTGGTTTTAAAAAATCTCATTTTCAATTTGACTTTAAGTTGACCACTCTTCTAAAAGTGCTGATCATTACACACAAAAGGGATAAGTAACCGATCGTCCAAGACCAAAAGTACGTCAAACAATTGAGTCAAAAGTGAAGTCGATAAAATTTCTAGGAGGACAATCTGGTAAGTTACCCAGCTTTGACTTTGCTGCAATGCATGGACACAGCCGTGGCCTTTTGTAACGATATATATATATATATATATATATATATATATATATATATATATATATATATATATATATATATATATATATATTATTTTTTTTGGAGATGCTGAAATGATGATCGACAAGTGCACAGGTATAGCTAGCATCCAATAGGTGACACTATATTTTGGATTAAATTTGTGAGATCTTTACAGGCCGCTTTCCCGATCGACTTCAATTTGCTGCAAAGGAACTTATACCGCCTGTTTGGATTGACAAAAAAGTAAGGAATTGGAATTCCATTTCCAATTCCATTTCCATATATTATGTTTGGAATAATAAAAAGGTTGAGAATTGAATTCCAATGGGTCTAAAATATAGGAATTACAATTCCTATCAAAAGTGATAGGAATTGAGAGAATGAAGATGGAATTAGTGGGACCCATCAATACTTTTTATTATTTTGTTGACCCACTATCATTTTACTCTCTTTCTCTCTCATTCATATTTCATTTCCCAAAATAAAACAAACATATTACATTATTCATTATGGTTAAAAATGCAATTCATTTCCATAGTTGTAGGAATTATACCAAACACTAGAATTGGAAATGGAATTCTATAAAAATAAAAAATTGAATTCCATTTCCATTTCTTCCGAAATTGTATCCAAACAGGCTGATAGATCTTGCCCAATACTTATGCCCATTATCTTTTTCTTTAACTCCTTCCATCATGAGTTCATGTCGTACCCAGCTAGGTATACAACTGGTTAAGAATGAAAAAAAACTAAAAGAGAATTGATGAAGCGAACTTTGAATTGACAAAAACGCAACACTTAGTAATCAAAGATAAGAGTTTCATCGTACGTACGACGCATAAAGCAACTACGCAAAAACATCAGTCACCAAAATGAAAACCGTCCAAAACAAAAACTCAAACTCAAGATGATCTTCCTTGCTTCACGAGAAATAAATAAAGAAAACTCATACGTCATGCATGCGTCTGACTCGATTTCTAGACTATTCTGGTGAAACCTTCTTCAACAAGCCTTTCAGCTTTCGCCTTCTGTCCTTATAATCTTGCATGCATGCATCCTTGTTGTCATCAAACCATTCTGAAGCCTCACTCAACGCGGTCTCCACTGCACTCCTATCACCATCATACATATGAAGCTTCTCAGCCACTGCCTTGTTCAAATCGTAAATGGCACGTTCCAATTGGTTCCTCGCATCAACACGAGCTCCCTCCTTCTTGTCGTGCTCAGCCATCTCCCTTGCCTCTCGTATCATCCTCTCAATCTCCCTTGCATTCAAATTCCTCTTGTAGTTGTCAATTGTAAGGGACTCAGAATTCTGACTTGCTTTCTCCTTGGCTGTGACGCTTAGAATTCCATCCGCATCAACCTCGAACGTCACCTCGACAGAAACGGCTCCTCTGTAGGTGGATTCAGTACTATACATGCATGCAATCTCGTAATTATTATAACACCAAATAGATTACTTACCTTGGAGCCAATGGAATGCCCATGAGTTCAAAACTTCCGAGCTGGAGGCAATCTTTAGTCAGGGTTCTTTCACCTTGCAAAACCTGAAATTATGTGTTAATCGCATAGGTAACGTCGTAACGATATGGTCTAATCAAATACAAAAATATAACCAAAGAACAATTCCACTTACAATATATTTTATACTAGCTTGCTGGTCTTCAACAGTTGTGAACAAGCCTGACTTCTTTGTAGGAATGGGTGTATTTCTGGGAACCACTACTGACATCAAATCACCAAATACATCTACCCCCAAACTCAAGGGAGTAACATCGAGTAGTATTACACCTATAATCCCAGCAGTACGTATTTTTGTATGAAGAAAACAGTGACATACTGAGAGAAATGGAATCAGACACAACTAGTACTTTGGAGAAACAAAATGCAAGCGAGCAAAATTACCAACTCCAGGTCGGTCGGTAGTGAGATTGGCTCCAAGGATAGCAGCTCCATAAGCCACGGCCTCGTCGGGATTGATCCCTTTGCTCGGCTCTTTCCCGTCGAACTCCTTCCTCAACATCTCCCTCACCATGGGGATTCTGGTGCTCCCCCCAACCAACACGATCTGGTCAATCTTGTCCTTCTTCAACTTTGCATCTTTCAGTGTCGACCTTACCACTTTCATTGTCCTCTCAAACAGATCCAAATTCAAAACCTCAAACTTAGCCCTTGTGAATGGCTCAGAAAAGTCCATTCCATGCAACAGAGAATCAATCTCTACTCTAGTTTCGATCTGAGTGCTCAGAACCCTTTTAGCCCTCTCACATTCCCTCCGCAGCTTCCCCGTAGCTTTCGGGTCTTCACTAACGTCCTTCTTGTACCTCCTCTTGATTAGCTGAACAAAATGCTCCATCACCCTCTGGTCGAAATCTCCCCCGCCGAGATGCGTGTCACCGCCGGTGGCAAGTACCTGAGGTTAAGCAAAGATAGTTAACCATTTCACTATATCAACTCATTTAGGGTTATCATTTTTTTCACCCGTACCTGGAATATGCCATTGTCGATTTCCAAAACACTAACGTCGAACGTCCCGCCACCTAAATCATAAACCAGAATGTTCCTCTTTGTGTTTGGATCTTGGTTCACACCATAGGCTAGGGCGCCAGCAGTCGGCTCGTTGATTATCCTTAAAACGTTAAGCCCGGCGATAATGCCAGCGTCTTTGGTGGCTTGCCTCTGGGAGTCGTTGAAGTAGGCCGGGACAGTGACCACGGCGTTGGTTACTTGCTTCCCAAGGTACGATTCCGCAGTCTCCTTCATCTTCCCCAACACCATGGCGCTTATCTCTTCAGGTGTAAACGTTTTCAGCTCGCCGTTAACTTCAACTTCCACGCAAGGCTTTCCGTCCCTCTCCACGACAGGGTAGGGCAGGTATTTTATGTCGTTTTGGACTTCTGGGTCGTCGAATTTTTTGCCGATGAGTCGCTTGACGTCGAAGATGGTACGGCGGGGGTTGAGAGTGGCCTGATTCTTGGCGGCTTCCCCGATGAGACGCTGGGAGCCGGCGGAGGTGGCGGGGGAGAACGCGACGTAGGAAGGTGTGGCTCGGTTGCCTTGATCATTGGCTATGATTTCGACGCCGTGACCTTTTCGAGCGACGGCGACGCAGGAGAAGGTGGTGCCTAGGTCGATTCCGATCACTTCTCCGCTGATCTCTTTGTCGCCCATTTTCGGCTTTGCAAGGGGCAGATGAGTGAATTGACTAGGCTTGCATGCGTTTGAATTGTGTATATACTATTTAAAGAAATGACCGACGACTTTCCCCTTCACTATTAGAGCGCCTTTCCAATTTCCGCTGTCTGCTTTGAACTTGTGAATTGTGAATCTGGCTGCATGCATGCATGCATTGAAACATTTAATGTGACTCTTAGTTTACCACGCTCTCGTCGGAATTAGGAAGTGGGGGAATTACCTAAGTAGACTACAAACAAACACGTACCCCCCAACGGTTTAGAGATGGGGATTTGCGGCCGTCGGGATTGGGCGGGGAGTAAAATGATATTAAGTTTTATAAAATTATCTTGTTATTACAGTGTAACTAATTATACATAATGTTCTTGTTATTAAAATGTAATTAAGTTTTATAGAAATATTATTGGAAGTATGTTAGCAATAAATTTTGCAATTTAGTTTTGAAATACAGTTTTGATAAAGTAATGGTTTTTTGACATGCATTTAAGTGTTAAAATTATATAAATTTCAAATAAAAAATTATAAGCAATAAAATTGGAGTTGTTAACGTCGTCCTAAAAATTAAAGGCCTGTTTACTTTCATTTCTGTTTTCTGTTTTTCAGAAAACAGATTGTGAAAACAGGTGAAAACAACATTTTGTCGTTTCCAAAAACAGCAGGAACTTGTCACTTTCTGTTTTCATAGTTGGAAACGAATAGAAAACAGAATCAAAAGTAAACAAGTTTTCTCTTTTCGGTTGCCAAATTTATGACATGAAAACAGAAAACAGGAAACGAAAATGAAAGTGAACAGGGCCTAACAATTTTACCTTGTTTACACTAGTTTACCTTTTTATTTCTCTCATTTTCACCCAATAAACACACCAAACTTGTGTCGAGACTGACCAATCTTGGATATTAGACCGAACCGAAGGTTTAATTTGATTGCATTGCGGCTCGAATCGAAAAGGGCCTTCTGTGCAACTGTGCGCAAAAGAAACTTGTTTACGTTAAGGATGGCGACAAATCGGATTGGTTTAGATTTCTCCAGATTCAAATTCAACCTAGCAGTTGTATTCATCCAGACAAACCGGTAAAATATCCAGTGAATTTTAGAAGATAAAATACAGTTAAATTCAGTGGGTATCCACCACTTCATGGATATCCATAAGTTCACGAACATTAGGCTCTCATTTGGTAACACCCAATGTTAAACGAGCAATAGTTCAAACTTCAAACAAAGCACAACTTAGTTCGAGATATGAGCACGATTGTCCGAAGGCAACAACGATGGCGAAGGGGTAGGAACATTAGGCTCTCATTTGGTAACACCCAATGTTAAACACATGTTGTATACACCACTAATCATTGCTCGTTCTCTCAAGTTTCTAACCCTTGGCATTAGCCAGTAAGAGCTATGTCAAACTCAGAGGCAAAGAATCATTAATAATCCTAACTAGATAGCGTGTCTCAGAAGATTTCTCTTTTGGTTGCTACGCACATGAGTTTTCAGGAAAACTTGTCGAATATATTTTCAGAGGTGACAACTGCAACATAATCCTTCTGGACATTTATTAATTATAACATGTTCACAGTTATTGTTGATGACATGGACTATACATTTGATGACTTGTCTTTGGATTTGTTGGCTTTGTTCATCAATCATGTAATTGTTCCCTTTTTATTAGGAAATGTACACAGTACAACCAATGAGGTAGTCTATAAAGTCAGGTATTTTCAATTTTCAACAACATCAATGTTTAAAAACAAATATTTTAATTTAATAGACTCGATAGTAGCAATTTACTGAAATTTGTTGGCTTTACTCATCCATAATTATATTGTTTTCTTTTGCCGGAAAAAACGCACTATACAACATATTCTAACGTAATGATGTTAGAAAAACAAAACATGTACTAGTTTAACCAACTTGATGATAGTATTGTCTCATAAATGGTTCCAACCTTTCTCCCATTAGTTTCTAGCAACGAAATTAGCTAATAATGGTTTAACCTAGAATTGATGTGCATTAATCACAAACTACGAACAACCATTTGACAGACGTCTCAGTTATCACTGACAGAGAAATTCTGTTATCAGTTCCCGCGTAAAATCAGTTAGCAGCTAGGTAAATGACTTGTCAAACAAACGCGATTATCATTAAATTCAGTTTGGCTTAGTTGCACCGGGCTCTCTTAATCCGCTCATCGCCTTAATTATAATCCATCTTCTTCCTTCCTTTCCTTCAATCATCTCTACCGTCTGCAATTTCAGCTCCCCGGCTATTGCAATCCTTCACCTGGATTTGCATTAGCCGCGGAGTTGTCATCACCAACAAAGGAGCAAAAGCTTCAAATTCGTCAAATCATGGATCGCGAACACAACAATGTCCCGCGCCCAAACAGCCACCATCCCACGACCAGCGGTGACGACAACAGCAATCGTCACCGCCATCGTCATGCCGTCACGAGCAGTGACGTGGAGGGTTCGGTCATCAGCAGCTCCGCCGACTCTTCTTCCCCGCCCCGACCCCCGACCTCCCCGACCGCCGGCTGTGCAGTACCCGGCTACGACCCGAATCGGATCCCGTCCGGCGTGTTCGCGTCCAAGTCGGGGAACGGGATCGAATGGAGCACGGCGTCGAACGAGTCCCTGTTCAGCATCTACATGGGCAACAACAGCTTCTCCAGGGACCAAATTGCAATGATGTATAAATCCGGGGAGCTCCCCATGCTCGATCAAGATTATTACGCCGCCCTTCCTCCAACGCCGGCGGCCAGGACAACGAACAACCAACCACCTTCTTCCCTCTCCGCCGCCACGTGGCAGCCTCCCCTGCCTCCTTCTGCCAATCAGCCCATCAACAATATCAATATCATCAACATTCACGTCCCAGCTAATCCTCCGCCGAGTAATAATATCACCATTAACGTCCCTCAGGAGGTACAGCTGCCTAATCCTCCAGCAACCGCCGCCGCCCCAGTTGCGAGCACGCAGTCAGCCGTCAGTTCCCTTAATCGGAATTCCACCTCCAGCAGCAGCAATAATCGGAACTCGACCAGCAGCACCAAATCTTTCCAGTTCCCAATGTGAGTATCTATTGATCAATCAATCAATCAATCAACAATTTCGTGGGGGTTAGTTAAGGGGAAATTAATTAATGTTTGTCGATGGGTTTTCAGATTGCAGAACGAACAAATGGGAAGAAACAGTACAAGGAAAGTGGAAGCAGAGCAGAAGGCTGCAGGGGAGAAGAAGGCAGCGGTGGCAGAGGAGCCAAATGAAGCGGAGACTCGTCAGAACGAAAAACAGGCGGAGGAGCAACAACAACAGCCGGAGCAGCCGGTGAAGACGACGACAGAAGAACCTCAAAGCACGACGTGCTGTAAGGTCACGGCGGCGGCAAAGAGCTGGATGTGTTGCTTGCCCTGTTTCTCCAGGTCCTCTTCATCATGAGTTCATAAACTTCAAATTTTAGAAGCTCATTTCTGACCCTGTTTCGGACATATGTTGTACCAAACAGCCTATATATGTGTTTTTATTTAAAACCTTATTGGTATTTCACTGACAAAAGAATTTGAGTGTAAATCTAATGTATTTATGTACCAAACTGTCTCCAGTTTGTGATTATGTTCAACGACTATCATCATGCATACTACGTAGTACAAGTAATCGATATGCTTTGCCGGAAAGGAAGAAAGAAAACACTAAAGAAAAATCCTCCGAATAATAGCTAGGAAACCATCTCTCAATTAACTGTGCAACCTCTTCTCTATCATGACAACATCCAAAAAATCTACCGAATCGCCGACATCGGAATAAGAACTTCCGATGAGTTGAGTATGTTCCCCATGCCTGCATGGCTACTCCTAAAGCCTACAAAATAGAATTCCCACCCCACTATGGAAACAAACCATGCTGGTATAGTAATCCAGAGGTTATCCATTGCTGGAATACCCAAAACACTTCTACATATATATTTCTAATAAAATGGGGGAAAAACAAGGACGCTTACTTACTCCGACTGGATGAACATTTGATGAACAGTTAAGGCATGCAAACTCCAACACACAGAGAGAAGTCGGGAGTTTTCACGAGGCATTAGCATTATTCGGTAGCCTAGCTGCTCCACCTGAACGGCCGCCTCTACCTCGAACTTGTTGATAACCTTCGCCTCTGCCACCACTTGGATAACCCCTTCCCCTACCAGCGGGATATTCACCTCTGTTGTTGTTGTTGTTGTTGTTGTTGTTGTTAAACTCTGGTCTTCCACCAAAACCCCTACCACCTCCACCGTAGTTCCCTCGTCCCCCTCGGAAGCTGTCATTCCGATACATTCCACCCCTTCCTGTTGGGAACCTGCCTCTTCCATTACCAACTGCAACACCAAGTACATCATTCAACAATTCGGCTTTACAAGTTTATATTACATACGTAACATGATCATTTCATTACCCTGTCTAACTTCAGCATCAATACGAGACTCGAAGAAACCAATTCAAAGTTTCAAAAGATAAAAGAGATAGTTAAACATGGATGCAGAGTCTCAAACTCACCTCGAGTTGAAGTTCTCTTCATCTCAACAATTGATTGACGTCCACCGACTGGAACAGGAGATGCCTGCAACAACACAGATGACCACAGGAAATATTGAAAAAATTTCTTCCGGACAACAGGACTAAAGATAGTCAAACATTCAAAAGTACTAGCAGCAACAGAACTCCACTTAGCGTCTCAGATTAAGTTCTGGACCAATAAGCAAAGACAGATATGTAAAGTATAAGCAAAAGCAAAAGCAAATCGCAATAAACAGAATCAGCATGGACCACTTCAGCAGTATAGACTTGCAACAGTTAGCATATCTAGGGGAGAAAACATTAGGTCTGTGCCTGGTTCCTAGTTCCATACGTAGCCAGATGGCTGATTCACAAGTAGACAGACTCACTTGGGGATGGTAAATGACAAGCTCGCCATTGAATCTTCACCCATACAATGGT